GTGTCCGATTCCTCTGCAGGAGAGCTCAGTTTATTTCTGAGTGTGGTAAGGAAAGAAACGACCATAAATGGCCTTTTGGCTCATTCGGTCTCAAGTTCAGCACAACAGCATCATAGGGATCCTCTACGAAAAAGGATATGGGCTGCCTTCAGTGACAGCCTCCCTAGAATTCAGTTCCACTCAACAAACACCCAGGCCAGGCCGGGCCTCAAGTCGGTCCTAGGAGGAGAAACATCAGCGGGACATAGCAAAGCAGGCTTCTCCAATTCAGGATCCATTATCCACATCTCATCTAAATAGGTGTAAATATCAAGGACAGGATAGCAGAGTCAGTCAGATCCCAGTTCAAATCCTGACTCTGCCACCTTTTAGCTCGGTGATCCTGGCCAAGTTATTTAACCTCTCTGGGCCTCAGTTCCTTCCTTGAGAAATAGGGCTAATCATCACATATAGTGCATAGGGTTGAAGGATATAAGGTATGTGTGGAAGACACACGGAGCCAGTAACAGGGACAGTGATCCCTAAGCAGTATTCATGGTGATTTCTAGAACTTCTACAAAAATTAAATTCAATAGTTTAGTTGTTCCAAACCTGACTGATCATCAAAATCACTAGGGGAGCATATTAAAAATACAAATTCATAGGTTCCCACATCCCTGAGAATTCTAAACGGGGTAGGGCCCACAGAGGGCCCAGTAACCTCTGTTTCCATTATACACTCTTGTGCCTACCCATAGTAGGTACACAATGAATACAGGCCTCTTTCTGGCCTGGACTATTGCAATAGCTTCCTAACCAGCTGCCTCTGTCCACCCCTGTCTCTCTGCCCTCCACACAACAGCCAATGGGATCCTTTTAAAAGGTGAGATTATGTCAGTTCACTGCCTCCAACACTCTACAACTCTCCATCCACAGCCCTGAGTAGACGACCCTACATCAGTGGCTCCTGACCCTGATCACACATTTGAAATACCTGTGGGCCAATAGCAAAGACATAGAATCAACCTAAATGTCCATCAATGACAGACTGGATAAAGAAAATGTGTGACGTATATACCATGAAATACTATGCAGCCATGAAAAAGAATGAGATCACCTCTTCTGCAGGAATATGGACGGAGCTGGAGGCTATTATCCTTTGCAAACGAATGCAGGAACAGAAAACCAAATACTGCATGTTCTCACTTATAAGTGGGAACTGAATGATGAGAACTCATGAACACAAAAAAGGGAACAATAGATGCTGGGGACCTGCTTGAGGGTGGAGGTTGGGAAGAAGGAGAGGAGCAGAAAAAACAACTACTGGGTACTGGGTTTAATGCCTGGGTGATGAAATCTGTACAACGAAATCCTGTGGCACGAGTTTACCTATATAACAAACCTGCACAGGGTCAGGAGCCATGGATGTACCCCTAAACCTAAAACCTTTCTTAAAAGTTTTTTTTAAATTATTTTTTGATATGGAGTCTTGCTTTTTTGCCCAGGCTGGAGTGCAGTGGTGCCATCTCCGCTCACTGCAACCTCTGCTTCTCAGGCTCAGGCACCCACCACCACACCTGGCTATTTTTTATTTTTTTATTTTTTTAAAATTTTTGGTAGAGACGGGGTTTCTCCATGTTGGCCAGGCCGGTCTTGAACTCCTGACCTCAGGTGATCTGCCCGCCTTGGTTTTCCAAAGTGCTGGGATTACAGGCATGAGCCATTGTTCCCAGGCAGGTATTTTGGTTTTTTGATTTTGTTTTGTTTTTAAAGAAAAGAAATACCTATGGGCTTCTGAACAACACCTATGCCTGGCCAGATCCCAGATCAATGGAATCAGAATCTCTGAGAGCAGTGCCCAAATAGGGTTGCCAGATAAAATACAGGACATCCAGCTATACTTAAATTTCAAATACACAATAAGTAATTGTTTAACATAAGCCTATCCTGTGCAGTATTGGGACATACTCATATTAAACAATTATTCATTGTCTATCTGAAACTGAAATGTATCAGAGAGTCCTTTGTTTTCATTTGCTAAATCTGGCAACCCTAGGTCTAAGCATCAGCTTTTTTTTTTTTTTTTTTTTTTTTAAATTTTGAGACAGTTTCCCTCTGTTGCCCAGGCTGGAGGGCAGTGGCGCAAACATGGCTCACTGCAACCTCCACCCTCCAAGGAGCTGGGACTACAGTCTTGCCCTACTATGCCCCGATAACTTTTGTATTTTTTGTAGAGACGGGATTTCACCATGTTGCCCAGACTGGTCTCAAACTCCTGGGCTAAAGCGACTCACCCGTTTTGGTCTCCCGAAGTGCCAGGATTGCAGGTGTGAGCCAGGGCACCCAGCCCTCATCAGCATTTCTGAAAAGCTCACAGTGATATGGCCCCCACTACCTGTCTGACCTCATCTCATCCAGGACTCTCCCCCAGCACTCTCCATTATAAAGGTCAACCACACTCTGACCTCAAGACCTTTGCAGTTGTTGGGTCTACCTTGAATCCTCCGCCCTGTAACCTGATAACCTCCTCAAAGATGGCCCGCAGGGGTTCCCTGACTGCTTCATCTTCTACAGCATGACTTCCCTGCTTTACTTTTTCTGTAAAACAAATTAAAATCAGTTTGTTGGCTGGGCGCCTGTGGCTCACGCCTGTAATCCCAGCATTCTGACAGGCCGAGGCGGGCAGATCACCTGAGGTCAGGAGCTCAAGACCAGCCTGGCCGAACATATGAAACCCATCTCTACTATTACTACTACTACTAATAATAAGAAGCAGCCAGGCATGGTGGTACAAGCCTGTAATCCCAGCTACTTGGGAGGCTGAGGCATGAGAATTGCTTGAACCCAGGTGGTGGAGGTTGCAGTGAACTGAGATTGTGCCACTGCACTCCAGCCTAGACAACAGAGCGAGAATCTGTCTCATTGCAAAATAATAATAATAAAATCAGTTTGTTTACTGTCCATCTCCCTCTACCCATCCCCCAAAGCAGAATGTAAGCTCCGTGATTTTGCTGGAAACACTTCGGTTCTTTCCCCTGCTATATCCTCGGTGTCTAGAACCCCACCAGCCACTCCGCACCTCCCAGTTGAATTAGTCAATGGTTCATCAGAAGGCTTCCCTTCCCACGACTCCTTAAACATTCCTTGGGGGAGAGTTACTTAGAAGAAACTAAATTCTTCAGTGTCCAATACCAAACTTAAAAAAATCTCAAAAGCATGCACCAAACGAGGTAAACATATTTTCTCCATCTCTCCTACCCTCAATGATGGGATGTGGGCCTGTGTGCGGTGGGGGTGACCAGGGTGAGGCTCGGGTGCTGGGCAATGGCTAAACAAGATCCAATATCCAAAGACAAGTGTGTTCAACACAAGGTCTCTAACCAGATTAGAAACAGGGCAAAGCAGAGGCTCGCAGAGCGGTGCCTGGTCCCACAAAGCCCATCTGGCTGGAAGGGACTGACAGATAGAACCCCTTTATTCCCCTAAAGCCTGCACATGATTGACCCATTTGACCTTCACAATAACCTCATGGGTGGGTAGAGCTGCTTTTCTTGGTCCTGATGGGCCAGTGGGGAGATAAGCAGATGGAGGATGGAACATTCCACAAGGTGCCTGAGTCCCAGGCTCTGAGCTGGGATGCTGGTCTCTGACTCACGTCGGTACCTTTTCCTCCCATAGCCCTAGACTGTCTTCACTGGGAGAAGGAGCAACAGCCTCTGAAGCCACGATGATTCATGCTCTAGCCCTGGCACTCATTACCTCTGTGATTTCTGCACTGTCTGGACCTGAGCCTCAGCTTCCTCTCCTGTAGAATAGGTGTGATGAAATTTCACAGGGTTGCTAGGGGAAAGAGATCCATTCATTAAGTGCTTCTGTTGAGCACCTGAGAGTGCCAGGTACAGTCCCTGGAGCTGGGCATACAGCAGAGAGCAAGGGAGCTGAAACCCACCCACCCCCAGAGCTTTTAAAGGCTAGTTGGGGCCGGGCACGGTGGCTCACACCTGTAATCCCAGCACTTTGGGAGGCTGAGGCAGGCGGATCATCTGAGGTCAGGAATTCGAGACCAGCCTGGCCAACATGGAGAAACCCCAACTCTACTAAAAACACAAAAATTAGCTGGGCGTGGTGGCCAGTTCCTGTAATCCCAGCTACTGGGGGGGACTGAGGCAGGAGAATCGCTTGAATCCTGGAGCCTGAGGTTGCAGTGAGCTGAGACAGCACCATTGCACTCCAGCCTGGGCAACGATCGAAATTCTGTCTCAAAAAAAAAAAAAAAAAAAAAGTTGGAGAGGCAGAACATAAACTAGCAAACAGAAAAATGAACAAAATAATTTCAGAGTGATAAACGGCTATGATTAAAATAGAACAGGACTGGAAGCCTGGTGCATGATCCCACAGCCCTTAGAACAGTAACTGGCGCATAGTAGGTGCTCAGTAAATATGTTCAATGACTGTGCTGGGTGGTCAGGGGAGACTCTCAGACGCCATCCCGGGAGGAGACCAGAATGGAAAGCGGGAAATGGACTGGGGAAAAGGGAGGTCTGAAGGCAGAGTCCCAGGCGCGGGAGCCTCCGGAGGCCCTGAGACAGGGCCAAACTTAGGGTTAGGGAAAATAAAAGAAGAATCAGGAAGAACTTGGATATCTGAACACTTTGCAAACTAAAAGTGCTGCATATACGCGCGGGAAGGGAGTTCCTGTGGCTGGTTCTTTGTTAACATTGGACATTTTTGAAGACTTCCATCCCCGTGGCTTTAGGGCACGCCACTCTCGGGCCGAGTCCTTGGTGGGCAGTTTCTGCCAAGTAGCAGCCTGCATGCAGGGCCCCCCTCCGCCGCGCCGCCTCGCTGCTTCCTGGAGGGTGAACGGAGCCACACACACAGGTGGCGCCGCGGGCGGGCCGGTCACCTGCAGAGGCCAGCGCCCCTGTCGCGGTGGGTGGCGGAGGCTGGAGGGGCCGGGTCGGGACCTGCAGCTCGCGAGTCCGAGCGCGGAAGGCCCCGCGCCCCCGCGCCGCGCTCCCGAGTGCTCCGCCCGGCCGGCGGCCACCAGGCGCGCTCAGGGCAGGCGGCGGGACCGGCCGGGACCCGGACGCGGCGGGGAGGGGCGGGGAGGGGAGGGGCCGGGCAGGAGGAGCCCGAGCCGGTTTCGCCGCCTCTGTCTTCGCCTTCGTCGCCGCCGCTGCCGCCGCCTCCAGGTAAGGGGGCCCTGGGGCCGCCAGGCCGCGGAGGCGCACACCCTGCCGGGCCACTCCCCGCCGGCCCCACGCGGGGCACCCGGAGCCTGGGCCGGCCCCGTGGCCCTTTGCCCCGCGCCCCGCCCTCCGCCCCGGGCACCGGACCCACCAGGAAGCAGCGGGCGCTTCCCCGCGCTGCCTGCCAGGAGCCCAGGCCGCCTGCTAGCGGTTGTTTTCAGAGCCGGAAGTGCCTTTAGAAATCTTGTGGGGCGGCGATCGGGGAAACTGAGGCCGGGCGGACCGCTCGAGGGACCCCGGCCCGCGGCTCCTCCGAGTTGTTAGAGGTCACCCAGCCGCTCCCTTGACGAAGGGGGACGCTGGTCAGGGTCAGAGAGGAAGGGGGCTTGCCCAAGGTCACAAGGGGTCGCTGCCCTTCCCCTTGCCCCACGTGGCCCCTCCACGCCCCCGTCAGGAAGGCCTCCAGGACCCCTTTCCCGCCCCACCCCCACGCCGTCTCCCCGCAGACTCTCAAACAGAGAATTCCAGGGGGGCTTGGAGAGCCTCTGGAGAAAATCTCAGGCCCCTCATGTTACAAGGAGGCCATGTCTTCTCCCTGAAGTTACAGGAGGGAAGAATTATGGCTGCTGACTTTTGAGTGGATTTTACAACTGGGTAAACTGAGGCTCAGCGAGGTGAAGTAACTTCCCCAAGACCACACAACTAGGAAGCAAGAGATAAAAAACCTGGGCTACCTGCCTGGAGAGCCTGCCGCAGTTCTTGGCACAGAGTTGGCCTCCACAGTGCCTTTGCCCTGACCAGCCCAGCCCTTCCCTGGGGTCGCACAGGGAGTTAGGAGCAGGGCCAGGCCAGAATCCCAGAGTACTATCTAACTCGAAGTCGGAGTCAGCTCAGGAGCCCTCTTTTTCCTGAGTCAGTGTTAATTTCATTGCAGAAAATATGAAACTCCATTTTAAGCTTTGGGAACATGCATCGGTTCATTCACCAAATATTTGCTGAGCACCTACTGTGTGCATTCTTTAGGCATTGAGGATACAGCAGTGAACAAAATGAGCCCTGCCCTCAGGAAGTACACTCCCCTTCAGCCTGGGGAGGGAGGGCTGGGCACAGGGGAGACCACTGGTGTCTCCCCAACTGTGAAGTGCGTGAAGACAGCAGAAGAGAGCGGTATTAGAGTGGCCTCAAGCCCTCTGGGCCATGGGCCTCCTTGAAAATGCTTCTGCCAGCCTGAGCTTTCCCACCGCCAAGGATTTGGGGGGCAGGGGTAGGCGGGTAATGAGTGTTCCAAAGCATTCCTTTAACTGCAGAACCTGGAGACCTGGGCTGGAAAACTGGTACTGCCACTGCCTTGCTGTGTGACCTTGGGTATGTCACTCTACCTCTCTGGGCCTCTGTCTCTCTATCACACAACATGGGGACCATACTGTCATAGTGTGGATGAAGCCGCTTCATAAATGATGTGAGCTACGTCTGAAGCCTTACCTAATCAAGCATAAGCAAGGGTGTGTTTATTTAGAGGTCTGGTGACTCTGTTGATAATTACTATTATGATTCCTAATAAAGAAATGTAAGAGGCAGAGATGGAAGTGGCTGGGCTCCAGGCCAGGAGGCTAAGGCTCCCTGCCCAGCACCACTGGGATGCTCGTGTCACCGTCAGCATTTCCGTTTTTCTGACCCCTGCAGCTTCGTGTGCAGTGTCAGATAGAGATGGGCTCAGGTGCTAGCGTTGCAGCTTTGTAACTGAGTGATCAGGCAAGTTCAATGACCACTCTGTGCCTCTGTGCATTCATTTGTAATATACCCATCGCCAAGGTTGTCGTGAGAATTAAAGGAGCTGAAGCCATAAGAGGCCCATTGCAGTGTCTGACACTTTATACTTTTTGGGAGTCTATACTTTTAGGCCTAAGGCCCAAGGAGGAGTTGGACAGGTACAGCTGACTGATTAGGTTGTCATAGCTCAGCGTGTAGCTCCCGTAAAGGCTGGAATCTGGAGAATTCCTCATAAGGCTCAAACCATCTCTCGCTACTCTGGTGCCACTGGGCTGCAAAGGCTGGATCAGCCACCCGGGCTGGCTAATGTGGGACCTGAGAAGTGTCAGTGGGTGGCTTCTCACTGTGTTCTCTTTTGGCCTGTGTGTTTTATAAACAGTGTTGTACATTATAAACTGGGACGGCTGATGAGGGGTGGGGAACTGGCTCTCTGGAATGTGTGACAGCAGGCAGAAGGGTTGAGAGTGGAATCCAGTCCCTTTTCCATTTAGCCAACCTCTGCTTCAAGCTGCTCTGAGATCATCGTACCACCCTCTGCCTAAAACCATGCTCTGGCTTCCCATTTTCTTAGGGAAAAGAGCAAACTTTTTTTTACATGGACCAGAAGGCTGTGTGCACCCCTGTCCCCTGGCTGACACCTCCAGCTGTATCTGTGACCACTTATCAACAGCCCTCTGTACCCAGGCACCCCATGCTCCCTCCTTGGGAACTTTGCACCTGCTCTTCCAGTCCACCCTGACCCCTTGCCTCCCTTTTCCCAGGCAACATCTTCTCACTCTTCAAATTTTTTTTTTTTTTTTTTTTTTTTTTGAGACTGAGTCTCACTCTTGTTGCCCAGGCTGGAATGCAATGGTGTGATCTCCACGCACTGCAACCTCCACCTCTTGGGTTCAAGTGATTCTCCTGCCTCATTCTCCTGAGTAGCTGGGATTACAGGTGCCTGCCACCATGCCCAGCTAATTTTGTGTATTTTTAGTAGAGACAGAGTTTTACCATGTTGGCTAGGTTGGTCTCAAACTCCTGGCCTCAAGTGATCTGCCCACCTCGGCCTCCCAAAGTGCTGGATTGCAAGCAAGAGCCACCGCACCCAGCCTTTTTTTTTTTTTTTTTTTTTTTTTTTTTTTTTGAGACTGAGTCTTGCTCTCTCTCTTGCCCAGGCTGGAGTGCAACGGTGCGATCTTGGTTCACTGTAACTTCTCCCTCTGGGTTCAAGTGATTCTCCTGCCTCAGCCTTCTAAATAGCTGGGATTACGGATGTGTGTGCCACCATGCCTGGCTAATTTTTTATTTTTAGTAGAGACAGGGTTTCACCATGTTGGTCAGGCTGGTCTCAGATTTCTGGCCTCATGATCCACCCACCTTGACCTCCCAAAGTGCTGGGATTAGAGGTATGAGCCACCATGCCCAGCCTCATTCTTCAAATTTTAGCCCTACTCAGGCTTTTATTCCAAATGCCCCAGGCCACAAGACTTCTACTGGTATGTCAGAGGTTAAGTTCAGGGTGGAATTATACACTCATTGCTGGGATTCATTCCTGCCTGTACCCTGTACACCACCCTGACTATAACCCCTGTGACCTCCAGTACCAGAGCTAAGTTTGCTTAGTAGGTGCTCAGGAATGACCTCCCTGTAGGGAGGACGTCTTGAGCACATTGGGGACCTCACTTTTTTATCCTTCAAAAAAATCTGCTGAAGTCATTTCTCAGTTGTGGGTTGTTTTATTCAGCACACAGGGAGTGAGCCCCTGCTCTGCCAGGTGCTGTCCTAGGATACCTCAGGGAACATGACCCAGAAGCCACTATCTTCATGGTGCTTCCTCTAGTAAGGGAGACAGACCATAAATAAACCTATAATACATTTTCAGGTGGTGATCAATTTGATAAAAATCACAACGGGTCGGGTTGGAGGCGGGAGTGGACGGGCTGGCCGTTTTAAATTGGAATGAATAACCAAAATATTAATTGAGAAGCCCTGGTGCCCTGGGCTTCATCCAGTCTCACCCTGACCCTCCTGGTCAGGGAGACAGACACATTGGTAACTGGCCATTATGTCCAAGAAGAGGTGGAGGGGCCCAGATGAAGTCTATGGGGCTTCAGAGGTGGCAGGTCTCACATTCGCTGGACAAATCTAGGAAAGCACATGGCAACCCCTGACACCCCACCTTAGTAAAGTGGAGAAGGACTTGGAGTTTGAGGTCACATAGGCCTGGAAGGAGCATCCTAGGACTTGCCAGCTGTGTGACCTTTGCTTCTGTGAGTCTCAGTTTTCTCATCTGTAAAATGGGAACAGTGATCGTCTCCTCTTCATAAAGTTGTTGGGAAGCTGAAATGCGATCATGGAAGTAGGCCCCAGAAAATCTAAGCTGATTTTATTATTAAAGTGTGCTTTTGGAAAAGGGCACCATTTGGACAGGGAGGCACAGATCGAGAGAACAGCCTGAGCTGAGGCCTGCCTGAGGTGGGATCCCAGGGTGGGCTGGAAGCAGGTGAGTGCAGTTTAGCTGAGGGTGAGCTGGAAGCAGGCAGTGAAAGAAAACCGACTGGGAAAGGCAGGTTAGGCTTGTCTACAGCTGCTTGGGGCTCACAAGTGGGATGTGAGCCTGTGCATAGATGGGAGCTGTCAGATTCATCTAATTTGCTGGTTTTCAAGTTGTGTTGGAAATCTTTGGCCACCCCAGGGTGCAAACCAGACCAAAGAGAAGTGGAATAGCATCATCGTGAAGGTGACTGCCTGTGGGCTAAGACCCAGGCACAAGTTCAAATACATTCCTTGTCCAGTGACCTTGACCTTCAATTCTCAGGGCCTCTGTGTCTCCATCTGTGGAGGGGTGGTAATAGCACCCACCTTGTAGGATTGTTGAGAGAAAATGAGATGATGTTTGGAAAGGGGAGACACGTGGCTAACATGTGCCAAGTATTTACTATTGTGATTTTTTTGTTTTTTTTTTTTTTTGAGACGGAGTCTTGTACTGTCACCCAGGCTGGAGTGGCGCAATCTCAGCACACTGCAACTTCCACCTCCCAGGTTCAAGTGATTCTTCTGCCTCAGCCTCCCCAGTAGCTGGGATTACAGGTGCCCACCACCATGCCTGGCTAATTTTTTTGTGTTTTTAGTAGAGATGGGTTTTCACTATGTTGGCCAGCCTGGTCTTAAACTCCTGACCTCGTGATCTACCCGTCTCGGCCTCCGGAGTGCTGGGATTACAGGCATGAGCCACCATGTCTGGCATGATT